TGAAAACCCAAAAAACCTTAAGGGATGTTAGTGTAATTAACCCGATATTTACTATACACTTTTCTCTCTTAACCTTAAAGTGAAATATTTTTAAGGTGAGAAAAAAAATATACCAAATGGGACGTAAGTTTTATGTATGTAAATATTGGGGTTTGAAGTCCCTTTTTATATACAAACTAAATCTTGTTTTAATATAATAGATATATTTACATTAAGAAGTGAGAGTTAAGTTAAGCTACAAAATAGGCTAATGTATTAATTTGGTATTTTCGTTCATGAGATTCGACATAAGCCCCTCTACTAAAAAGAGTACTACTAGACCGTAATCTCTACTAATTAATAAAACATTCACTGTCAACCAAAATCCTATGAAATTACTAGTTTAACCCTCTAATTAAAACAAAACATGAATAAGAAATATGGGACATAAATATAATTTCATATAACCAAATTTTGCTGTTTTTTTTTTCAAAACCTCACCTACATATAGTCCTAACATATCTCTAAAAAAATAAAAAAAATAAAAAATAAAACTTCTCACTCTCACATTCTCTATCACTCTCTTCCTCTCTCCTTCTATTTCAAAAACAAAAATAAAACATTTTCTCACTCACTTTGTGTGTGCCCATATGCTAGTATTAAATATAAAAGGTTGAATTGTAGGTTGAATAAAGTTTCACTTTAATTCATATAGATTCAATTTTCACAAGTTTAGACATGTAGCATACATAGAAAGCATAATGAGGGCCTTTGTTCAAGTTTCAACCCTACCCTCTTAAGCCATGTGCAGGCTTTTTTGGACTTTGGATGCCATCCCCACAGCCTAACATCTTTTGAAAAAAAAAACCTATCCCTTTGCAAACATATGAATTTTTTAGGATAATACTTCGGTACTCACTAGTGTATATTTTATGTATCCCTCTACCTTGAGTTGGAGCGTTTTACTAGACTTAACTACTCAATTGCATCGATTCTTATCATTCTAGGAGCATTTGATCCACCTTCCTATTGTAAAGCATAGGTTCCACCAGTGCATAATCAAACGAGGTAAGCTCCTACTCCCGACCTTCGAGAGCATTTTCAAGCATTTTCACATTCGAACAGAACCACTTAGCAGCACTTGCCACCGAGAATATGGAGCTTTAAGCACATTCAATTGACTGGTAGTACAACGGTCCCTTATAAAATCTAAGGAATCTTAATGAAACACTATTGATACTGTTCGCTTTTAACATTAAGGACATTTTTACCTTGAAAAGTCATTCCTAGAACTATTCACTTACACATTTATTTTGTCATTTTCATTAAAACAAAAGTTTTTGAGAACTTTTGGTTAGTTTTCCTTAAAACCCAAAGCCTTTTCTGCTTTGGCCCAATAAAAAAATTATCACGTATTATTTGTTTTTATAGTCTAAGAAGGATCAAATAACATATCCATTATTATTATATATATATATATATATATTTTTTTTTTTAAATAGCATATGTGTTATAATATCATTTGACAAAATCATAAATAAGTACACACTAGTGAATACTCAAGTTTATCAGCTCTCAAATGACTTGAAAGTGACAATATTATTCTTTAAATTTCAACACAAAACTAATTAATTAATAAATTACATCTCTAATTGATTTTTACCAAATCTTGTTTCTTTGATAAAAGAGCAGCCACAAAATCCTCCATTGCTTTAACAGAAGACCCCTTCTCCTTTCCTTGATCACCATCATTATCTCTAATTGATCCTCTTATCTTCTTCTTAATCTCACCTGCATTTTTCCTCATCTCCCCTCCCTTCCCACTCTCGTCCATCACCAGATCAATCACCTCCTTCCATCCAATATTACTCTGCACACCCCTTGTCAGCTCCACACTCACACCCATCTCCTCCACCAACATCTTCGAATTATAAGCCTGCTCCGCCGCCAACGGCCACCCCACAATCGGCACGCCCTGGCTCAAGCTCTCCATCACTGAATTCCACCCGCAATGGCTCACAAAAACCCCTGTGGATTTGTGTGACAAAATCTCCAACTGGGGTGCCCAGTTGTGCACTAGCAACCCCTGTTTTCGTTTACTCATTCTTTCCTCAAACCCGTGCGGCAGCCACTCTGCTCTGAACTCACCCTTTAGATCAAACCCCACCGGAGGCCTTATCACCCAAACGAAAGGCTTCCCGCTTTCTTCCAACCCAACAGCCAATTCCATCATTTGGGTTGCCTTGATAGTGTTCTGAGAACCAAATGAGATATAAATGACAGAACACGAACCTTGCGAGTCAAGCCAGTCGAGGCATTTCTTTGCGGAAAAGGCTTTCCCCGCGCGCTGCCTCGAGACCTTTAAGTCCAATATGGATGAGTTTTTTAGTGCATCAGTAGGAATTAGAGGACCAACGCACCAACTTGAACCTTCAAGTTATCCCTCAAGATATCCAATCCCAACGGCTAAATTTCCTCCACGGTATTACACAGGCAACCAAAAGATTTTGTAGAAAGCGAAATCTGGGACTGGAAAAATCTTGACCAAGAGTCTGTACCGTCTGCAGCTCTTACAAACGAACTCAGCTGAGAGATGTGGAACCTGCAGTGTTCCGGGAAGCCGGGGACGGTGAAGTATTCGTTGCTTGCGGAGCGGTGAGGCAGGTTGAGCCAGACTGATGTGTAGGCTGCAAAGCCGTCACTTGTGTTGAAACTCACATTGACAGTGCCTAAGCTATTCGCAAGATCGGTAGCCCATCCGAAGAACACGTCAGAGATCAAACAGAGCGGCGGGCAGCGAGCGGCCTTCCCTTTTGATGATATTGGTGATAAGGCGGCGAGCAGGAGGTTCGAGGCTGAGTGAGGCGGCTAAAGGAGGGTTGATCATTTTGGAGAGGGGGAGGTTCTCTGTGGTTTCTGTGTTAGGGGGGAGGTCGTGGTCTGAGCTGCAGAACGGAAGTTCGGCCAAGTGGATGTTGTGATTGGATGAGGAAAGGAAATGGTGGATTGGAGGGATTTGATGTTGAGAGGGGTGGTGGCGATGGTGATTGAGAAGTTTGTTGACTGTTGGATGTGCTTTGCAAGTGATAGGAATGGTATGATATGGCCTTGAGCCATAAATGGCAGCATTACTATATGCTCTTTCTCAAATCCCCCTTTTTTTTCTGATAATTTTTTGAATGACCTATAATGGTGAGAAAGAGGGAGAAGAAGAATAATTATTTTCCAGTCTTTGATAGTCTTTGATAGTCCGGACTACTGGGTACTTCAACTTTTTTATCAATTACATTGGCATTTGAAAAAAATTGTCATTTCTTTAATTTTTCATACTACTAAGTAGAGAGTAGTGACAAATTTGAGGATTTTAACAAATCGTCGGTGCCAACTCTGTATTCTGTGAAATTCTGATGGTTACCGACATTGCCACATTTGAAGTTGGAGTTTGGAGAATACTAAAAGCCAATGCATCACCCGACCCGATACATTTCTTTGCCTAATTAGGTTTGTTGTATAAACAAAAGAGGTTGCCTAATTAGGTTTGTTGTATAAACAAAAGAGGATGTCACGTTGAAACAAATTATGTATTTTGTTTCTTCCTCTTGTTTTTTTTCCCTTATGGTTTGTAGTTCAGTTATGCATCAATATTATGCATGCTTTTGCATTTCTCAGGTTGCGTAGCGTACGTTACAATTTGAAACATTTTGCATTTCTCAGGTTATGTATCAATATTCCCGTACCAACATTACAAAACATTGTACCAAAAAATATGAGGTGGTGGAGAGTTCATAAAAAGTCTCACTTTAAAAGAGTCTCCTTAGCATTTCTGTCTCCAAAAACATTGTAGAATTATAGGTGACAACTTCTCGAAATGAATACTTCATCTTCTACCTTCAGCGTCACAATTTGAAACTATTTCTCTAAATGTCTTGAATCTAGTAAGTTGTTCCCCTTAAAAAATTAATATATCTACTTCTACAAAAGCAAGAAATGAACTTTCTATACCGTCTCATTATTTAGCATTTAAGGGTATCATGGAACCATGAATTTCGGACCACAAGATCGAGCTGGTCGGAATGACTGATATCTCATAAGCTCCGGAGCGAACCTCTCGATGTGAAGTGAATTGACGGCAACGAACTATCGGAGCAAGTCACTTCGAAAAGTCTCAGATCGTGTTAATGGATGGGCAGAGTAGTTTTAACCGCCGGATAGCTAGAAAAGAGGTGCTTATTAATGAGGTAACATCGTCACTGCCAAACATATGTCTTGCTTTAAACTGCTAGTAAATTTATATAAAGACCAAGGACGATTGCTCACACAGTTCTGGTGGAAAAAAAAGGGGGCAATTAGCTGGAATACACTATTCTAATAGGATACTGTGGCAGTGATGGAGTGGCTAATCAAGAGGATGATATGAAGAGCACCTAAGGTTATTCTAATAGGTTGAATAAATTTCCACTTTAATTCATATAGCTTCAATTTTCACAAGTTGACATGCAGCATGCACATGAAAGCGTAATGAGGGCATTTGTTCCAAGTTTCAACCCTACCCTCTTAGCCAGGTGCAGGCTTTTTTGGACTTTGGATGTCATCCCCACAGCCTAACATATTTTGAAACAAAACCTATCGCTTCGCAAACATATAAATTTCTTAAAGGATAATACTTCGGTACTTACTAGTGTATATTTTATGTATCCCTCTCGTTTGAGTTGGAGCGTTTTACTAGATTTAGCTACTCAGTTGCATCGATTCTTATCTTTCCAGGAGCATTCAATCCACCTTCCTATTGTAAAGTATAGGTTCCACCAGTGCATAATCAAACGAGGTAAGCTCCTACTCCCTTGGCTTTCGAGAACATTTTCAAGCATTTTCGCTTTGGGAGAGAACCATTGAGCAGCACTTGCCACCAAGAATATGGAGCTTTAAGCTCATTCAATTGACTGGTAGTACAACGGTCCCTTATAAATTTTAAGGCCATTTCCGCTTTAGCCCAATAAAAAAACGTATTATTTGTTTTTATAGTCTAAGAAAGATCAAATGACATATCCATTATTTCATTTTTTTTTAAATAGCATATGTATTATAATATCATTCAACAAAATTAGAAATAAGTACTCACTAGTCAATACTCAAGTATCATCAGCTCTCAATTGACTTGAAAGCGACAATATTATTCTTTAAATTTCAACGCAAAAACTAATTAATTAATAAATTACATCTCTAATTGATTTTTGCCAAATCTTGTTTCTTTGATAAAAGAGCAGCCACAAAATCCTCCATTGACTTAACAGAAGACCCCTTCTCCTTTCCTTGATCACCATCATTATCTCTAATTGATCCTCTTATCTTCTTCTTAATCTCACCTGCATTTTTCCTCATCTCCCCTCCGTTCCCACTCTCGTCCATCACCAGATCAATCACCTCCTTCACCTCCTTCCATCCAATATTACTCTGCACACCCCTTGTCAGCTCCACACTCACACCCATCTCCTCCACCAACATCTTCGAATTATAAGCCTGCTCCCCCGCCAACGGCCACCCAACAATCGGCACGCCCTGGCTCAAGCTCTCCATCACTGAATTCCACCCGCAATGGCTCACAAAAAAGCCAGTGGATTTGTGTGATAAAATCTCCAACTGGGGTGCCCAGTTGTGCACTAGCAACCCCTGTTTTCGTTTACTCATTCTTTCCTCAAACCCGTTAGGCAGCCACTCTGCTTTGAACTCTCCCTTCAGATCAAACCCCACCGGAGGCCTTATCACCCAAACGAAAGGTTTTCCGCTTTCTTCCAACCCAACAGCCAATTCCATCATTTGGGTTGCACTGATTGTGTTCTGAGAACCAAATGAGATGTAAATTACAGAATTCGAACCTTGCGAGTCAAGCCACTCGAGGCATTTCTCTGCGGAAAAGCCCATTTCTTTTCCGGTGCGCTGCCTCGAGACCTTTAAGTCCAATGCGGATGAGTTTTTGAGTGCATCATTAGGTACTAGAGGACCAATGCACCAAACCGGAAGCTTCAAGTTATCCCTCAAGATATCCAATCCCAACGGCTCAATTTCCTCCACAGTATTACACAGCCAACCAAATGATTTTGTAGAACCCGAAATCTGGGGCTGGAAAAATTTTGACCAAGATTCTGTACCGTCTGCAGCTCTTACAAACGGATTCAGCTGAGAGATGTGGAACCTGCCGTGTTCCGGGAAGCCGGGGACGGTGAAGTATTCGCTGCTTGCGGAGCGATGAGGGAGGTTGAGCCAGATTGATGTGTAGGCTGCAGTGCCGTAAGCCCCGCCTGTGGTGAAACTCACATTGACAGTGCCTAAGCTGTTTGCAAGATCGGTAGCCCATCCGAAGAATACGTCCGAGATCAAACAGAGCGGCGGGCGGCCTTCCCTTTTGATGATATCAGTGATAAGGCGTCGAGCAGGAGGTTCGAGGCTGAGTGAGGCGACTAAAAAGTTGATCATTTTGGAGAGGGGGAGGTTCTCTGTGGTCTCTGTGTTAGGGGGGAGGTCGTGGTCTGAGCTGCAGAAGGGAAGTTCGGCCAAGTGGATGTTGTTGTGATTGGATGAGGCGGAGGAAATGGTGGATTGGAGGGATTTGATGTTGAGAGGGGTGGTGGCGATGGTGATTGAGAAGTTTGTTGACTGCTGGATTTGCTTTGCAAGTGATAGGAATGGTATGATATGGCCTTGAGCCATGAATGGCAGCATTACTATATGCTCTTTCTCAAATCCCATCCTTTCTTTTTTTTTTTTTTTGATGATTTTATCAATGATCTGTAATGGTGAGGAGTAGGAAGAAGAAGAACAATTATTTTCCGTCTTAAGTAGACACTGGCAGTTGAGAAACACTGATATTTCTTTATTTTTTCTAAAGATTTTTTTAGATATAGACCCTTGAAACTTCTATTTTTCAAATAAAAACCCAACTAAATTTAAACATTCAAATAAAACCTAAATTTCAAATAACCTACCATGTAGACAAATATATAACTAACTATTACAATTCATTTGCAACTTATGCCACAAAATCCTAATTTGGTCAATAAATGTTATTACTCACCCTAATTATGATGAGCAATTAAATCCATATGGATATTTTACCTTTCTTGTGTCATAAATATTAGCAACATAAATAAATTAATTTACCGAATTAAAAAAAAAAAAGACATATCTTGTATGCAAAAAATAATATTGTTTGAATCATGTAATTACCTACAAACAAATTAATTTACCTACTTAAAAAATATTATACTAATTTACCTGCATTTTGAATCATGTAATTACCTACATACAAATATTATACTAATTTACCTACTTATAAAATATTATACTAATTTACCTACATTTAAATTAACTTACCTACTTATTAATATTATACTAATTTACCTACATTGAAATTAATTTACCTATTCAAAAAAAATAAAAAATTAGTGATTAGATAATGTTCGAATGTTGTGGGTTTGTGCTTGTAGGCAATTAAATAAACTTTTAATCTAATGCACATAAATCATGTGGGTAAATTAGACCATTTTGGAAGTAAATTAGACCTTTAAATTTTGGTTTGATGGAGTAGGTAAATTAGACTATTTTGTAAGTAAAAATTGTGTGGAACATATAGCTTTTGTTTTGTGTATTAGAGATTGGAGTATTAGCCGAAGCTGTTTTAGATTTATTGTTGTGTTGGTAGGTAAATTAACTTATATATTTATTGCACAAAATTATGAAATTAGTATTATTATTATTCAATTGGCACGTTATAACAATTTGAAAGTTAATACATTGAATATACAATACAACAACAACAAAGCCTTTTCCCACTAAGTGGGGTCGGCTAACATTGAATATACAATGAATGGCATAAATTATTTTGTAAAATATATAAAATTAATTAAATGGATATAACAAGTAACTGGTCCAAAAACCCCATCCAAGTATTAATAGGGATAGTGTCACAGCCAGTCCCGAGATTTTCTTATTAAGGACGTGAAATGTCGGATTTGACCTTAGCATGGGCTAAGGTAAGTGTGTGTGACATTATTTGGATTATTTCTATATAAGTTTTGGATTTAAATTTTAGTTTTATAAAATTTTGGTTAGGGAATTAGATGATGGAGGGTGAGGATTTGATGTTGGACCATCTAAACCCCTGCCCTCTCTCTCTTCCCGTAGCACTCTCTCTCTCTCCTCCCTCACGGCTTCCTCTCTCTCTCTCTCTCTCACTCCCAAAGTGTACGGACAAGACCCAAAACCATCCAAAACTCAATGGGTCGAAGCAACCAAGGTAAGATTCTTCATCCTTGTGATGCTCTGAGTTGTTTTATGCTAGTTTTAGGACGTGGAACCTTCGATATCACGTGAACCCGAACCCTTCATTTTTTGTCACTGTTCATGCACACGTGAAATGTTGTGTTTCAGGGAATTCTAAGCTTATAGTGAGCTTAGTGAGGTCCCAAGGAAGCTCGGAGTGCTTCGTTTGAAGGTTTTGGACGTCGGGATCACTAGGTTCGATTTTGGCCGGTTTTGCTTGGAATTTTCCGGTGAGATTTAGTTGTTTTTGGAGCTTAAAAGTAGTGTATCGTGATTCTACATGTTTGGGGCTTCATTTTGATATAAAATACGAAGAAAATGGGTGAGAAACGAAGGAGAACAAGGAGTTTCAAAGTTGGCCGGAAACCAGCCGCCGGAAAGTTCAGTCCGGCGAGCCAAGGTTAGGGATGATGCGCGTGGGGGCGCGTGTCCCCGTGCCTATCCTAACACGTGGGGGCGCGTGCGGCCTCCAAAAATTTATCTAACAATTTCTCGACGTCCATGACGTCGAGTAGGTCGATGTGGTATATTCATATACCTAAATTGAGCATCGTATGAGAAGTTATTTCGAATTGTTGGTTATGTGTTTAAATTAACATTTTTATAGTTGTTTCGCATATAGGTGACACCTATCCCGAGGACGAGCACATCCAGGGACGTCACGGGGGTTACGACCCATCGACTTACCAGTGAGTGGGCAGTTTTGTTTTCGTATTACCTATATACTACTATTTTTCCTAGGAAATGCGTATTTGCAAATTATGATTTAAATTGCCATGCATGCAATTGTTGAGATATTTGGTTTGATAAGTGATGCGTTTATATGTGAATTGACGCGGTGGACGCACAGGTGAGTTTTTATATTATTTAGATGGATTATTTTATGTGAATTGCATTGAAAGCTCATAACCTGCACCCTAGGTGTTAGTGCTTATATTATTATTCACCACACCGCACGCTCGTCTTGGATCTAGTAGGTGGATGTCGTACAGACCATGTGAGGGTTCCGACATGCTAGTCGTATAGACCACTAGATGTGATTCCGACTAGTGAGTGACCTTAGTTATGCGCGCCGATGATTGATGAGAGAAGCACTAGAGCGTATTTATACACCTTTCATCGTACAGACTACCATATGTAGTTCCGAGTGACGTGCAAAGTTGGGCCGTATAGGTCACTGTGGTGACTCCAGCTAAGTGGGATGTTGAGCTTTAGAATCAGCCGTACAGGACCACTGTAGGGTCTCCGGTTGATTTATTATTTCACCTGATTGATATTGATGCATTCTGATTATATTTTGGCATGGCATGGCATATCCTTTCTGAGATGTTATGTTGATGGATGTGAGCTGAGTTTGATGATATATATATATATATGTCTATATACTATTTTCTGGGAAAGTATACAGGTTTTACGGTGAGGGGTTAGAAATGTCTTAAATGAAATGTTTTGGAAAATCTTTGGTTTTACTGACCCACTCATCTTTGTTTTGCACCCCTCCAGGTTCTAGTTAGCAGTTGGTGGCTCTCGAGGTCTTTTTCGGCATTCTGACATACGCTCTACATGTAGGACTCACCTGCGGGTGTTGTACTTTTTATTATGGTCCTACTTGACTGCACTTAGACCTATGCTCTGAATTTATGTGTTTTACCTTATAACTCATCCTTTTATTCTAGTAGGTTGTTACTACTAGAGATTGGTTTAAATTCCTTCTTATTTCTGTTATTGATTTGCTTCCGTGTCGCACTTTTGGTTACGTCACGCTCACGTGACGGCTAGCACGCCTTGATTACCTCGCCTATGAGAAGTACGTCCCTGGCCTGGCTGATTGGACGACCTAGATGATCCTGCACCACCAACAGCAACTTCCCCCTGACAAGGCTGACCTCCCTGATGCCACTGAGATCCACCAGCTGGCATGGATGAATAAGAAGAATAACCCCCAAAGTCCTGGGAATACCCCGTCTGAGGATAAGGCTCCTGGGGATACTAATAAGGTCTCTGGGAGCATACGGAGCAGCATCCCCCTGGTAATGGTAGGCACCACCATGACCCGACTGGCCATAACTGCCTGGTCCAAAGCTCTGCTGAATCGGCGCTGGAGGTGGCATAGTGGTCTGCTGTGGTCTCTGCTGACCCTGGGGACACTGAGAAGCCCGATGTCTCATTTGCCCACAAGTAAAACAAGCACCACCACCTCTTCTGCACTCACCATGATGACAAAAATTACAACGGCGGCACCACGGAGCGCCAGAACCAACAGCCCCACCAGAATCCCTCTGCCTTTGAAATCTGGGCCCACCAGAAAATCTTCCACCACCTCTCATCAGGCCAGTAATACTATATCCACCACTAGAAGAACTCGAACTCGCTCCACTCTTCTTAAAATTCTGCGTCTTGCGAGGTTCCGGAATAGAGATAACCTTACCTTTATCATCCTTCTTCTGACCATCATTCTTGTCCTCGTCATCCTCACTATCACTGGGAAGGTTATCAGAGTCCTCCATCCTAACCAAAATCTCGAAAAACTCATGGTAATCGGCGCAGGGAAGTGCACTGGCAAAAGTCCGCCACTTTCTCTTAGTTCCTAACTTGAAACGTCGAAGCATCTCTCCCTGATTACCAGCTGTATCAGGGTCATAGCGAGACAAATCAGTAAACTTTCTATAGTACTCATGAGCTGTCATATTCCTCTGTTTCAACCGAGTAAATTCCTGTTTCTTACGATCAATATACTCTGGAGGGACAAATCTTTTCTTGAAATTATCTTCAAATACCTCCCAATCAGATGCCATAGCTGGGGACATAAAATGCGTCTGATTCCTCCACCAACCTGCCAGCTCTCGACCCAAAAACCAGGTAGTGGTCTCAACCCACCTATCAGCCGGAAAGTTCCCCTGACTTTGCATCACCTGAAACGTCTTTTCAATATGATCTAGCCATTTCTCTGCCTCCTCGTGACCCTCATCACCCATAAAACGATCTAATTTCAGATTGTACATGGTCTCCAAGGGTGTCCTCTGAGGAGGGGGAGGAGGACGAATTACATTCTGAAAAGCCTGAGCCATTGTTTCCCCCAACTGAGTGATATCCGGGAAATTAGGTTCAGGAGTACGGCGGGACTCCCTACGCTCTCTATGAGGCGGCATAATTCTGACAGAAAACATCAAAAGATCATTAAAGCATTAACAATTATACAGGACTGCAACCTAGGCTCTGATACCAAACTGACACACCCCGATCCAGAGGATCAAGGCGTGCTGGCCGTCACGTGAGTGTGACGTAACCAAAAGTGCGACACGGAAGCAAATCAATAACAGAAATAATAAGGAATTTAAACCAATCTCTAGTAGTAACAACCTACTAGAATAAAAGGATGAGTTATAAGGTAAAACACATAAATTCAGAGCATAGGTCTAAGTGCAGTCAAGTAGGACCATAATAAAAAGTACAACACCCGCAGGTGAGTCCTACATGTAGAGCGTATGTCAGAATGCCGAAAAAGACCTCGAGAGCCACCAACTGCTAACTAGAACCTAGAGG